GGGGTTCGGGTGTTCGGTGGGGTTTTATTGATTGTGTAGGGGAAAAACATTAATTCTTTCAATTTTTAAATCTTCTCTGTCCCTGGGTGTTAAGCAGACAAACCTATTGCATGGTTATGATGAGCAAGAATGTCTCTTCAAAAAACATGAAATTCTTGGCTACTGAGTCAGGTGTTCTGGTGTTAGGGGCTCCATAGATTTTATAGTGAAAACGCAATTATTCATTGCATTCATATGCATTATTATTCGAGCAAGAGTGCCTCTTCCAAAATTGTGAAATTCTTGGCTCCAGGGTCAGGGGTTATGGTATTAAAACGGGGCTCTATTAATTATATAGTGAAATACATTAATTCTTGGATTTTCTAATGGTAAGGTAGACTTATGATAGATAAATAAAAGTGAGTCAAAAATACCTTATACATACATTTGTACATAAAATGCAATTTAAAATCCAAGAGAGGCCAATGCGAGAGGTACTATGTGTCTACTGTTTTGTGTGCTCAAATACTATAAATGTTGTTTAGTTGGGTAATAATGACAAATGGGAGTATATTAGCACTGGCAAGTACAGACAAGCTAATAATCTACTTTATGAGTTGTTGCTAAGTACTAGACTATTTTGTTGATCTCTGATCATTCTATTTTTCTTGTTTTTGGCAACTCATCTTCATCTATTAGTTAACTATTAGTTAATTTTGTTTTATTATATACCATGAATCCTTTAAGGAGCTTATTATACTCCGGTGACCGTTAAGACCCTTTTGACTCTTAATTTTTACCGGATATCTCGAGTGGAAGGAACTTTAATTGGCTGCAGCCAATCAAAAATAGGAAATAAATTTGTCAAGTTAAAAATAAGAAGTTTTTTTTTGTTGAAGTTGAAGCTATGAAACAAGTGAACAGATCCGCTATTCTATTTATGTGTCATTTATTTTATCTGACTGTTTTACAAGTACTGTGAAAACAATCAGTATTCACATATAAATCTCCAGCTTAAAAACTGATATCATGTAAGTAATATAAAAAAGTTATATTTTTCCCCTTGAATGATTGCGATTTATTTTTTAAAAAATGATTTTGTTTATATTTGTAAAAAAAACTTCTTCAAAGATTTCGTATGCTAAAGTGATTCTTTTTATATATTCAACTGTAAGTGAACAAATTCTCATTAAAATGAAACATAATCTAGCACATGTTTTATTTCCCTATCATTCATAGGTAAACTATATGATAAGAAAGTTGTCTGTTACAATACTTAAATAACTTACTTGTTCATTTGTAGCAGATAGGACAATGGTTTCTCCATTGATAGCTTGCTTTTCCTTACTCGTTATTTCAGTTGCACATTTTACATGTGCTGAGACTAAAATCGGAGAAAACGACGCCAAGGAAACCAGTAGATATGGAGACGTACTCCATCGGTTGGAGGAAAGAATTCTCCACCTCGAGAGGACAATCAGGTCTGAAATTCTTTTTCACACTGATTAACTTATCTAGCTATAAAATGCAAGGCTTATTTCGTATTCTAAATTATTACAATATATTGTTGTTAATGCTTCCATAATGGTTATCTCACTTTTTGATATTTCTGTAAGTGTTACAAGAGACAAAGTATGACCATTCTAGATAAAATTGTGCGTATATATAACTTAAGCAATACGTAATACAAAGACATTTGAATTGAAAAAAAATACGAGAGGTGATCAAACAGTTCGCGAACTAACTGAATTGGTTCCATAAAAGAAATAAAATTACGTTTCAGTGTTTATTATTTTTAAAAGTAATCCTCTCCTATTTTAATGCGCATCTGCCATCGTTCTGACCATGCGCAAATCACGTGATCCAGGCGGTTACGTGACATGCTCCGTAGGGTTCTGTTCACGGAAATTTACATTTTTTCGCGTTACGAAGTATAGCGAAAAATAATTGTCCTGACGACATGTAAACGAATACGAAAGTGTGGTGTTACTAAGGTGAAATTGTTATGTAGGTTTCAGCCAATGAAATGTCGGTATTGAGAAAACGTGTTCGATTGTATTTACGGGTGGTTAGTTCACTTTCTAGAGCACGCTATCCCGAGCAAGTCGTGTTTTTTTTTATTTTTTATAAATACAATAGTAAAATTTATATTTTCATAAATTTAGAAAACTTTTTTTGGATGTTTAAAACATGAGTGAGGGTCCGCCACTCAACTTTTTCGCTTACTCTGCAATTTGCCGCGGACACACAGGTTTCCATAGTTTCTTCAAAATATTTGTTTTTTATCTATGGTTTTTCCTGGGCGTCGGAGGAGGCTTTAAATTTTATTGCATTATTATTAAAATTCGCTTTTTGTGTTTTTGCCTTTTAGTATGTGGGCCTTATGTTATATCAAAACTGCTTTGTTTGTATATTTGAATATATTCAATATAATAAACCTGGCATCAACCTGCTCGGTGCGCTACAATGCCTATTAATTAAGGTGTTGTGTTTATATATAAAGGTGCATAGTGAAATGAAGTGTGGACTAACAGATTTTTCCTAGTCTTATATTTCTTACGGAGAAAACGTAAGTTATCTTTTATAACAAGAATAGTCCATTTGTCACAAATGGCCAAATCTCGGAAATAGGATCGGTGGATAAGGATATCTTTTCCAAGAATGAGCATGGTGTCCATCACAACCCGACTCCTTTATCATTTTCACTTTGTGACGTCACAAACATGGATCAAACATTACATAACATTTACTACTTATAGAACATGTGTATGACGATATGTCTGCCAAATTTCATTTTGATCTCATTTGTGGTTTTGTAAATATAGAGATAGTTCGCAAACTTTTTGATCACCCCTCGTAGAAATCAGAATAAAATAGGCTTCTGTGAGTAAATTATTTTTTGTTGTTGTTTAACCGAGTCGGCAATATTTCAGCCATTTTCAATTATTTTTGTACTACGTTCTTAAATAATATACTTTATATTTTGGAGAACACATAAAAATAAATAAATAAATGTAAATCTATTCACTGACCTAACAGAAGTGGGTTTTCTGTTGAGAGCTGTAGAGTGCATATTTCTAGGTGACACGAGGTATTTATATTTTTTATAAGTAAATTCTGATAAGAAGTTCGTAATATGGGGTGTTGCCAAAACATGAAATAGAAGATGGTATGAAATGAAATTAAAAATTTTTTGATTTATAAATGCGAACTTTATTTGTAATACTTATCAAGAATAATTTGAAGAACAAAACACATTCTTGGTTTGATAAAATCGCTAAATGACTATTTTTTGTTGAGGTCCAAGTAATAAGGCTTATCTCTTAATTCCTCATTTGGAAAAGCAGATATGTTGTAGGCCCTCTGCATCCGCCTAAGAGAGAGAGAGAGAACACGGAATGGTTATTTGTTTATACTAACTGTGAAAGTTTAGATGTTTATTTATTATGTGTTGTTGTTTTTTGTTTTTTTTTTTGACATCACGAATATGAAAAAAGTAACACAACAGTCTGGAAGTAAATAAGGTATATCACTTGTTTTCCTCTTGGGACAGCTAAACATTGTACATAAATGACGTTTTCAAATCAGAATTTATTTTTTATTTCTCTTTTAGGGTGAATAAATTAATTATCAACGAAAGTGATCCTTTAAAATCCGGAATTTGATCTCAAAATATTTTAATTTTGCAGTCTCCTTTTATAAATATCGCCATCCTGGTTCATATTTCCGTGTAATAGCTTCCAACCCTCTCTCCAGATTAAATTACAAGTTACACTGGATTAAATGATATTAGCAATCGATGAAAATTTAACGTTCTTTACAAAACGTCAATAATGGATATCAGTATAGTGGACATAAAATTCAATTATTATAACCTAAGATATCATAAATTTAGCCAATTATGCTCTATCCGCGTTCCTTTCCATCTGTTGTGGTTTAGCAACACAATTAAGGACAGATGATAGAAACAAAAATGTTGATATATCATGTTGATATAAGTAAAATGAACAAGTTTAACAGAAAAAAATTTAATTTTTATTCAAATTAAGTTTCAAAATAATGGGATTTAAAGCGACAAAAAGTTGTATAGATTTATAAGGATGGTTGCAGAAAGGTAGAATCCTGAACATCATAAAAAGTTTACAATTTCTTAGTATTTCAGAAATTTATTTTTTCCATCATTTACAACCAAAATAGCTCCAAAAATATATACCAATCCAGGCATCCATTTTTTGGGTTTGTATCATCTCTTCTTAAATGAAGAACTTCATCTCGTATTGCTGGCTTTTCAACATGGCTGAAAAAATTCACTACATATTTTTATATTTATGCATTGGCATATATTATTTTATTAATTGTTTTGTGCAGTAGTCACCTGTAATGATCGAACGAACTTTTTCAGAGGTTCCACTGTAAAAATAGGTTTAAACAAGATGAATTCGAGAAATCCTGATGTGACCGAGCTTGGATCAGTTTTAATGCTTCAAATCTGACCATGATCTATCCAACTGACCTTATATGTCAAAGTCATGACTAATAGTGATCTGCATTTATTTAGAGTTTCTAATGTTTCTCCAGTATTAAGTTAAGGAGCTGATGAAATTTTGCATAACGTGGTCTTGAACAGCCAAGAATTTAGCATTTCAAATCCTTGTGACCTTGAGTTGAATTGAATTGAGTTGACCTAGAGTCAAGGTGAAAACACTGCCCTTATCATTAACGCCTTGTGCCAAGTATGGAGTCTCCATATTGTTTATTTCAAATGTAATGACTGGCGCTAAAATTTCAGACAGACGCACAAAGATAGACATACCTCATATCTTCTATCTCGAGCCAGAACTACTTTCATGCAAGCACTCTAAATGCTCTTAACTTAAAAAAAAAATACACGGTTTATTTATATTAGAATATGAATAAATTTACACATACATAAGTAAATTATATGTATTTCTTTAATTTTAAGCGGAAATGAGAAAATATATCGAGAGCAAATACAGTTTCTTAAACGTAAAAATGAGGATATGGAAAGGAGGCTTATGAAAAATGAAAAGATCTTACTGGACCTAACAATCAGCTGTAACGCGGAACACAGAAAATCGACCATAAATAGACAACAGGACGACAAAAAGACAATGCCTTCTTCTAATAAAACGTCAACAAACGCAGTCACAGAATTTCCTTCACAGAATGGTTCACCAAACGCCTCTTATCAAGGTCGACTCAGCATCAAAAATGAGGCACAGGATTTATTTCCTAAACGACAGATGTCTGGTATTTGTGAGAGTGCATAGTTATAAATATTTATGTTTTATTATTTAAAAGTTTCATTCTTGAAATGATTACATCGAGCGTTTTCATAAAATTTTCGAAATTGATTCAGATCCCATAAACTTTAAGGTTCTTCCGTAAATTAAATACGTAAAACTCGTTTAGTACGAACACGGATATAGCGAATTCACGGATATAGCGAATTTTTCTTGGATCCCCAGCTATATAAATTTAACGAATTTCTTATACGGATATAACGAATTACGGATATAGCGAAGTAATTTCTCAGGTCCCAGTGACTTCGTTATAACCGAGTTTTACTGCATAATTAGATGTTGTGTATGCTTTTTCAATACTAAGTATTTTGAAAAATTTTAATTGGTAGGTGTCGTGGCCTTTTATGTGTACCTTAGTTCCACAGAGCCATCCCCTAGTGTACATCATACAATCATTTTCGACTACGTCAAGACAAACACTGGAGAAGCTTATAACCGCCATTCTGGAATGTTCACAGCACCTACTGACGGAGTTTATGTGTTCACTTGGTCTACTTACAGTGACCACCATGGTGTGATATATACTGAAATAGTAGTGAACTCAGATGTTATTGGAAGTGCTCTTTCTGACAGTATCAATGTCAATGCAGTTGATGCAGCTACTGGAAATATTGTGGTTGAAATATCCCAAAACGATGTCGTATTTATCAGAACAAACTCTATCCATCACGGGACCGGGGATATCCTCAGTTACCCACGGTATCGCACCAGCTTTAGTGGATGGAAATTGGTGTGAACATTATTTTCTTTTTTGAGATAATAAAAAATGTAATTATTTCATTCATAGTATGTTACATATTCTGGTACAGGTGAATTGCAACAACCCTCGAGCAAGTTTGTGTATATGCGCATTATAATTCCAATTTAATTTTATTTATAGATGGTTATCCATGACTGGGTTTTACCCAGCATGCATTGCGCGGGCGCCATCTTGTAGGACAAGCGTAATCGAAGCGAAGAAAGCAATCAGTGCGTGTAATCGGATTATAACCTAAAGTCATGGTAAATACTTGTGTTCTTTGGGGCTGTACAAGGCGTTCCAAGCCTGGAGATACCGCTGTGAAGTTTTATGACATTCCAAAGGTCATTAAACACTTGGGCGACGAAACAGAAGAACTTATAATCGAACGACGTAGATTGTGGCTGGCTCGCATCAACAGAGCAGATTTTAACCCCGATCCTACGAAGCGGCATAACAAAGTGTGCTCGGATCATTTCATTACTGGTAAGTATTTTAAAAAAATCTAAGTTTTTACTATTTTTAAGTGTATGTATAACAAGTTTACATGGGAATGTATTACGCATCTTACTGTCCTTTTCCTGAACATCGCAGAGTACAAACGTGTTTACAAGTATGTTTGAAATATAAATTGAATAGATTTGAACACCATATATATACTTAATTATTATCTTTAAAAAAAAATTGAAGGAATATTCATGTTATTCAATTCAATTTCCTTTTTTTTCTTGCACTACAGCACATGTACGTTAAATTCTTAACCCCTACCTTTGTTTCTTTTGCTGACTTATATGACAAAACCAACCCTGACTGAGCACCTTCTTTAAAGCTCGGACCAACAGAATCCACTGGACCAGAATCTTCCAAGAAGAGATATGACAGGATGCAGGCCAGAAATGTAAAGAAGATAAAGTTTCGAGCAGCAGAGGGTCTTCTGAAGTTACAGGAGTCCAGTGATAATGAGACCGTAGAAGAGACTGAGGCAACTTCTGCAGACAGTAAGCCAAAGTGCACATTTCTTCTTGGAGGAGAATTGGGATGTACGAGGGAAGACGAAGAAACTGAAGACCAGCAAGAGATAAAAAGATTGAAGAAGGAAAACCTGACTTTGAAAGAAAAACTGTGTGCTGGTACTGGTGATGTCTGTCCAGAGACATTTCAAGATGATGAAAAGGTGAAGCATTATACTGGGCTCTGCTATGCTACACTTATGGCTTTGTATACTTTCCTGGAACCACACATTACCTATACATCAAGGAGCACCCTCACAAAATTCCAAAAACTTGTCCTCACATTGATGAAACTCAGACACAATTTTGGCATTCAGGACTTGGGATACAGATTTAAAGTGACTCCTAGTTGTGTGTCTAAAGTATTCTTGGACATGATACATATTATGTATGTAAGGATGAAATGTTTCATATATTGGCCAGAGAGGGAGGAGCTACAGATGTCCATGCCTATGGAATTTCGGAAGTATTCTGGTGTAAAGGTTTCAATAATTACTAGTATTAACTGTTTTGAAGTGTTTATAGAGAGACCGTCCAATCTTCTTGCAAGGGCAGAAACCTGGAGCAACTATAAACACCACAACACAGTGAAGTACCTGATTGGTATAACGCCACAGGGAGCCATTTCATCCCTGTCTAGTGGATATGGAGGACGAGTGCCTGACAAACATGTGACCAAGGACTGTGGACTTTTAGGCAAACTGTTGCCAGGGGACATCATACTGGCTGATAGAGGATTTAACATCTCAGAGAGTGTAGGTTTGTGTTGTGGAGAATTAAAGATACCTGCCTTCACCAGAGGAAAACAGCAGTTATCCCCTTTGGAGTTGGAGTCAACAAGAAAAAATACATGTGGAACGAGTCATTGGACTTGTGAGGAACAAATACACCATCCTTCAAAGCATCATTCCCATTGACTACTTGCATTGTCAGACTGAAAATATACCCACCAAAGATAAAATTGCAATTGTGTGTTGTGCATTGACAATTATGTGTAACTCTGTTGTGCCTTTTTACTGAGCAGGATTTGAATGTTGAATTTAAAAAAAAAAACCGTCGTTATCTGCAAGGCAACCTGATGAGCCCTAACAGGGCGAAACGGTTTTAAACATTGAATAAAGTGAATTGTACATAAATTATGTGTTATGTTTTACTTAATATAGTATTTCGGAGACAATCATAACAATATTTTTATTATTGAATGATTATCTCAAATGTCATGATACTAGTAAGTAAGGAAACTTGAGACCTGACTGTGAATTAAATGATAAAAAAAAATATTCCCAAAAGACGAGCAGATTTAGTTCTTCAGTACTTTTATATGAATGTTTAAAAAATATGAATTTGATATTGATTCATGAAGATGTAGTATGGAATAAGCCTACAATTTAACTCTTTATTCTACAATAAAACATTGATAAAGGTCATCAATATTAATTGATCAACACACACACACACACACACACACATATATATATATATATATATATATGTAGCTGTGGAGAGTCCACATGTCAGTCACAGAAGAATGACAAAACACATTGGTGCATTTTCATTTTTTTAAATTTCATTTTACACTGTTTCGCTCTTTAAGAGCTCGTCAGGCCACCTAGCAGGTGACGACAGTGTTTTTTTTCCTATATGCAGAACAGTCAACTTATTTACACAGCTATATACATGGGTCTGGAATTCAACGTTTTCTGCACTCCTTGCAGAACCACTGGCCCTTTGGAACTCTCCTTATTCCCGCACATTTAAAATGAATCCAGACATATGGACAGTTTTCATTGTCACATCCTATGACATTGTCTATGTCTTTATTGTATGGCACTTTACATGAACAAATGATCAGGCGATCGTCATCCTTGGAAACGTTGTTGTTCTCTTGTTGACTTGATGGCATAGCTTATTGTAAAGGTCTTGAATAGATCTTTCCAATTAACTCAAGAAGAATGGCCTTTCTGAAGAACAGTTCACATTTCTGCACCATTTCCTTGCAGAAATTGTCATCAAATACAATCCTTTCTACAAAAAAGTCTTCCAGTGTCCATATAACAAAGTCACAATATTTCCGATTGCACATCAACAGTTGACGCTGAACTTGATAGTAGTAGGCATGTCCCCTATTCAAGCTCAGCTCTCCTCCATCGGTGCTTTGTAAACAGTCAATAACATCTGTTACTTGAGATTCTCGTTTGCAATAGGGACATTTGATCTCTACCAAAACTTCTCCACAGCAATTACACGTTACTCGTCCATCTGGACGGTCTCCCATGAATGGATACTTTGGACTTATCACTAATCCACTGTCATGCCATTGGAAATCGGTGTGTTTTGGTGACATTGTCTTAATATAGTGCATTTTTGCATCCTTCTCGTGATCACAGCCCCACTGAGTTTGTTTTGAGGAGAATGACTTTGACAATGGATTGCAAATGTCTTTGATCAAATTTTTGGATGGATTCTCAAGGGATGTTCTGCACACTCTTTTGGCACGGGATGCTGTTATTCGACCAATTCTGAAGTTAAACCACTGTCTGTTGTTAGCCTGTTCATGAGTAACTGATTCACAGTTCTTAGCTTCCTCTGGAGCCACAGCCAATGTTTGAAAGACTTCGTCACAGTGCTTAGCCACCTCCTCTTTTCGCATTCCTCCATATTCCTCCTTATTCAGTTCATTAAGGACCTTTGGGAAGTCTCTGTCCAAAGACGCAGGCCTGTAAATCTTAGCAAACTGGGGCAACAGTGATAACACAACAGGCTTGGTTCCTGTGCGGCTCAAATGCTGGTAAAATTGCGTTAAATCTTCAGCATTTGGTTCTTGCACCGTGGGAAGTTTTCGCTGCGGAGGTCCAGATGAGACTGGTGATGCTTCTACTATGGCTTGGTCTATTTTCCTCTTCTTTGTCTTGGCAGAGGTGAAGTCAGTGTCTTGAATTCTTTTGTATTCAACTTTGTTCACAGAATTTGGAAGCATTCAGTACGCCTTCTCTTCAGTCACAGTTTTGCTGTTCCTTATTTTCACTGCTGCTTCTACGGCAAATAGGAGAGCTCCGACATGTGAATACACTTCACCGATCCCTGCCATGCATGTTCAGTGTGTTGTAGTGACAGAGCCATCCTTCTCCACCATCAACCATGGTCTCAGACTTGGGTCAGACATGCGTTGTGAATGCTTCACTTTTACTAAAGGGAGAATAAATTAGATAGTTCACAAGATATCAGAATATGTTCATTCTTTCACATTAAATTTATAGGGTGCACTGTAATTTGACAAGAATTTTCTCTTTTTGTAGGCCTATATAGATGTATTTTTTGAAGCTGCGGTATTAATAATATTACATTTCTCACATCGGTTAAACACTCTACTTGATTACGCTCAAAATGACGGCAAATCCGATGTTTGTTTACAACCCCTTCCTATAAACCAATAAAATTCTTACCTAAGAAAACGCTCTTGACAAGTCTATGTCCTATGTCCTGGACAAATCCACTAACGAAGTAGTTGTAAGCCTTTTAACTCTGCTAGTGTGTACGCACTTTGGGTGTAAACCAGATAGTTGACGATATCAGGATAGCTAACTTCTGGCCAAAGTGTCATGTCTGCCGACCATTCACTCTTCTCCATTTCGTACGGGTCTTTATTGTCTATTGTCTTCAGTTTCTCCATATACCTGGCTTTTGTAATGGTGTCTAAACTGTCCCGATAAGACGCTTTCACACTTACATCCGATAACGGTGACGATTTCACGCTGCGTTTGGCCATTATAATTAGATTTGACCTCCACCTTCGTTGTTTGCTCGCTTCGCTTCGCTTGCCCTACAAGATGGCTGACGCGCTTAGACTCATGGGTAATGGCGGAGTAGTATGGAAAACCATCTATTGATTTCCTGTGTTTTGATTGGACGAGAGCAAATTCAAGAAAAAGTTTACTCATCGATAAATCTCTCAACCAGACCAGAACTACTTTCTTGTCCTACATTTAGTTTTTATTGTAAAAAATGAAACAAATCGTTACTTTTAGTCCGTTTTAGCTAAACAATTACAGAAACTTTAAATTAAATAAGAAGAATACTGTCGACATATACAGGACTGACAGACGGAAATGTTATGTTTACTTCACTGTCAGATCACGAGTTTAAAAATCTCTCGTAGGATATTATCTTCGTTCCTCAGTTCTCGGTAGCTGATAGAAAAGAGAAACGTACCTCAGAATCTTGCCTTATCGGCATCAAATTCATATTTCTACATCCTATATTCTGTCCCGTCTTTAAACAAACCAGTGCAAATCAAGGGTGTCTCGTCGGTATGCTACTTTCATTTTAGAGCGTCTGTCGTTAATGTCCACATGGTCAAGGACGAATTTTTCTAAAGTCTACCTGTATTTACGATATTCGTAACCTGAATTTGAAGAAAACAAGGATTAATGACGGTTTTCGACGTCCGTGCGTGTTTATTGCATAGAGAAAAGTGTGCAATACAAGGCTTTAAAAAACTAGATATGGCTCAAGCCCTTACAACAAAGTCCCTAGCTAAAGAACAATAAATACATATTTTGACACACTTTTGACTTGTCTGCGATTTTAAACTGAGCAAATATAATTTATCAAAAAGATCAATGTACAAGCAATTACTTTAACATTATTTTAACATGCATTTTTCTTAATTTTCGCAATAATTTGAACAGTTGAATAACAAAAATAAATAAAACTTTATACAAATATTCAATAAAAATAATAATGGTAGATACACATTTACCTGAAGAATAAGATTAATGAAGGTTTACGACGTCTGTGCTATTTTATTGCATATAGAGTGATCATGACCGACATAGGTACGCGTTCCCATAATCGCATAAGTTCAGATTTCTTAAATTGACCAATCAAATCGAATTGCATCTTACTAATTGATCTACTACATGTAATATTATCTAAAAAGAGTTAAAACTCGATGGATGTACAGATGTGGTAATGCCGTGTACCTTTGATGAGCTAACTGCTGACATAATAATTGAGTAAAAGATTAACCTTATAGAAGCCAATCTCTAACCAAAAAAAAAACCTATTGGTTTTTAGCAATAAAATGTTAACATCGACACTTGCTTTTTCTGCAATTGACCAAACAGATTTGCTGTCAATGCAATCACTGATAATGAAACTATACTGAGATTAAACGAACATAAAAAAAAACTGATTTCAAAAAGACTACAAGGTGCTAAATATTTGTCCAAAATATCAACTGTGAAATGCCAAAAAATACAATAAAAATTTGTATTCTATTAATAGTTTTTTCATTTGAGTTGTATATATTTTATTTGTATTGTATATTTTCCATCTGTATAGTAAAAAAGTCATTTGTGTTGTATAATTTTTCATTTGTATTCTATATATTTTCCATTTGCATTGTATAATTTCTTATTTGTATGCGATAATTTTTCATTCGTGTTCTATCCGAGGAATTGTTTCGTTACGAAGGATTCCTCTGGTCGAGTTTTTGTCTGTATGATAATGCTGAAAACGAGCGAGATATTTCGGGTGCTCAAAAGAAACTGGGCTCCTATTCACGTGAATATTAGGGGACAACCATTTGATTCTCAAGGTGGGGGGGGGGGGCAAATTTTGTCGAATCAGAATATTCATTTCCATGCTATCACAGGACAGAATATTTATTTTCAAGATGACTTGGGACAAGAAGAACAAAGAACAAAATCTGTCCAGACCCAAATACTTCGTGGGGGAGCGAGGGGGGGGGGTTAGATACTACCAGTCAAGGTCAAATTATTTATTTCCTTCACAGTCAACAATCAACGGATTATTTATTTGCCATCTGTCAGTGCTCTCTTTTTCAGAATCAAATGGCCGTCCACTTAAATGCACTCAAATACATATGCTTTGAGCAACCGGAACACCTCGCATG